ATCAATTAATCATACAATAACTTTTAATGCGCTCGATAACTTTTCCGGCCGCGATAAATTCTATTTGCTATTCTATTTTTCACGCTCTCAAAGAGACTGAATGTTAGACGCTTCTATCGCTCTCCGACTCCTCTCGTTTAACAAGTGTAATGGTGCTTGAACCAACGTGCGCTGTGTTTATGAACACAGTGGATGCGCGCGTAGCCTAAGTGCAGAAAGCGCCGCTGTCTGAACCAAAACACTTCATCGCCGAGTGCCAAAACAAGTTAAGATGCCGAATCAACACTAGTGAGTGGGACACGTCTCAACTGCCACGTACGTCAAATGCAGCGAGTGTGCAAATGACGAGAAGAAATGTCTCAAACCCCAACAGCCGATGAACCCAAACCCAAGCGACACGGCTAGCCTAGCCCCCAGGACGACCAACACGATACCAGACAGGACAGTGGCTCCCTCAGAGCGAAACAGGATCCTGTGTCGTGGGTTAATATGAACACTTCAAGGCCAGAATGCCGAGGCTCACAGCAGCAGCCACAGAGAGACAAGACAAAATATTCCAATGTAAGTCAGTGACTAAAATCACTTTTAAGGGCAATTTTGTTACAGAGACTTATTAATTCATTTTATTTAATGCTTTGGTTGTGTTTGGTTCAGCAATGGTTTATTCAAGTGTATTTTTGATGACAAGTCCTTGCTGTGAGCCAGACTATATTAGGCTAGTCCTATGTTAACAAGTCTGTTTTATTTAAGTCTATTGTTTTGGTTTTCTTACAGTTCCTGTGTAAAATGTTCTTTAGAAAGTAGAGTTTATTGATCTTTGAGAGGATGTATTTGCATTTTTATTCCATGGTCATTATATTAGTTGAAATTGTTCTCAAAATGTCAATATTATCGTTTATCGCAATAAATTCTTGGTCAATTAATCGTCCAGCAAAATCTGTTATCATTACAGGCCTACGCCCAAGGACACAACGACTGCATTCATCGATAGGAAGCTGGAATCGCACCTTCAACTGAGAAACTGCCAGCCCCCAGTACTGAGCCTGTTAGTATCAAAATCAAGCTTGAAATTTGGTACGGTGACAAGACTACACTTCAACACAGAGACAAACAGGCAGCAAACCCTCCACTAGAAAAAAGTTCCCTAGTGTATCTTTAATTCCTTCAGATATATTGCTCTTCTAATGTCCTACGGTGCAGACAGATGAGCCATATTAAACGCAGCGCTATAATTTCCCAACATGATTATGATCTGAATAGGCTGTCATAAACCTCTTCATATCTGCTGTAAACAATGTGGTTAACAGTCCCTGGATGATGCTAACACGTTCAATATTTCATACGTCAAATGGCTGAAGCTAGCTAACTACTCCCCCCACGCGCAGTCAATGGCGTACTCCATCTTGTGTCTAATTAGCCTAAGCCGCGTGAACTTTTGATCTGAGGAAGGAGTTGGTCATATTTCACAAAGGTTGCCGGGCGTTGGGACACATCATAGCGCGCACATGCTAAAAGGTTAGCTAATGTTATCCGCGAGGAAATTAGACATTGATTGGACGGGCGCACTCCCGATTGATCCGGGGGCTGTTGATTAAACGCAGAGAGGGGGATCAAGTCATCTGAATCATAAAGAAGATCAGTGCGTCAATACGCCGATGTGCTCCACCATCTCTCACGGCCTTAAACGTTTACGCTAACTTCAGATGGATTGGATTTAACAGGAAGTGTCTTATGTGAACGACCGCAGTGTGTGGAAGATAATACCAAGGATTCAATGTTAAATGATGAACCAATTGCTGAGTTTCAGATGGCCAGTGTTGGGAAGGTGACTTTTAAAATGTATTCCCCTACAGATTACAGATTACATAACCCAAATTGTAGTTTGTAACAGAATCCATTAAATTACTTAAAGTGAGTAAAGTAATCTGAATACTTTGGATTACTTGATTTGATGTAGAGTTGCAAAGACTAGGATATCATTTGTCTGCTAAAAGAAAATAAAAAAGCCCAGAATTTACTCAACCAAATTATAAATATTATTGATAGAAGAGGAGGAGACACGGTCCGCACAGCATAGTTTAGTCCTGTTAAAACCTGGTTTAGACCTGGTTTAGACCTGGTTTAGACCTGTTTTAGCCCTGGTTTAGTCCTGGTTTAGACCTGATTTAGTCCTGGTTTAGTCCTGGTTTAGACCTGATTTAGTCCTGGTTTAGACCTGGTTTAGTCCTGGTTCAGACCTGGCTTAGTCCTGGTTTAGTCCTGGTTTAGACCTGATTTAGTCCTGGTTTAGACCTGGTTTAGACCTGGTTTAGTCCTGGTTCAGACCTGGCTTAGTCCTGGTTTAGTCCTGGTTTAGACCTGATTTAGTCCTGGTTTAGACCTGGTTTAGTCCTGGTTCAGACCTGGTTTAGACCTGGTTTAGTTCTGGTTTAGTCCTGGTTTAGACCTGGTTTAGTCCTGGTTCAGACCTGATTTAATCCCGGTTTAGACCTGGTTTAGACCTGCTTTAGTCCTGGTTTAGACCTGGTTTAGTCCTGGTTCAGACCTGGTTTAGACCTGCTTTAGTCCTGGTTTAGACCTGGTTTAGTCCTGGTTCAGACCTGGTTTAGACCTGGTTTAGTCCTGGTTTAGTCCTGGTTTAGACCTGGTTTAGTCCTGGTTCAGACCTGGTTTAGACCTGGTTTAGACCTGGTTTAGTCCTGGTTCAGACCTGGTTTAGACCTGGTTTAGTCCTGGTTTAGTCCTCTTTTAGACCTGGTTTAGTCCTGGTTCAGACCTGATTTAATCCTGGTTTAGACCTGGTTTAGTCCTGGTTTAATCCTGGTTTAGACCTGGTTCAGACCTGGTTTAGTTATGGTTTATTCCTGGTTTTATTCCTGGTTTAACCCAAAATGTGAAAACAGGAAAATACCGCCATGTAATTCATTTATTCCAACAAAGTAACTGTAATCCAATTACCACTCACTGAAACAGTAAGTGTAACTGAATACAGTTACTCATTATTTGTACTCTGATTACGTAACTCTGGTACATGTAATCTGTTACTGCCCAACACTGCAGATGGCATAATGTTGATGTCACCAAAAGCAGATGGGGTCAGGAAGTAAAGACAGACGCACAGCACCTTGTTTACCTCCATTGACTCGGTGCCAAAATGCCTAAATTCTGTGCAAACTGTGGTTGTTGCAACTGCTCTAATCACAAGAAAGACAAACTTCTATTTTTATGTGTGTACTGAAAAGTATTGTGTCACAAGGGAGTTAATTTCAAAAAACATACAGGAAAAAAGATGACAAAAGTGGATCGACAATCTCCAACTAAAAACAGGAGGTGCAGAAATGGACAATACTAGAGTTTGCAGCGACGGGAGTGTGTCTGAGTTCTCACAGCCCTGTGTTTCCTCAACCTTATGTTCCCTCAGTTCCCTCAAAGTTTGTTTTTTTTTTTCAAAATTAGGGCCTATGTTCCCACATGTCATAGAACATAGAGCTGGGGGAACATGGAACTGACCCAACAGCAACCACTTTGTAACATATAAGGATTGTGTCATTTATTAATTTATATATATATATATATATATATTTTTTTTTTTTGACAATTATTTAGAATGACAAGCATCGTAAGTGACGTTAAACTGTTGCATTATAGGTCCTACCTAGAAAAGCTTTATGTGTGTTATGCAAAAAGCTTTAATTACTGCTGTAATTTGGTGTTTTATACCTTTTTAGAAACTCAACCAGATACAAAATAGTTGTATGCCTCCAGGCTTTCAAAGGCTTTCTTTTGGCTTGCAGTGTAATACGAGGTCTGCAGCATCAGAATCCTCCAAATTGTATGAAAAGTCCCACTTCCATATTGTACGGGTCATAACCTATATTTAGACTTTTTTTTTTTTTGTGATAGCAGGTGTGTGCCAGCCCTTTCAAACTTTTAGCGTACTCACTGTCACCCACTGTGCTGTGCTTTGAAGCGGAGAAAAACACTTCCTGTCCCCCATCTGAATTTCATGGGTCATCACAGTCACATCAGTAAAACTGTTTAAATGTCTGGTGTATTCTCCAGCAGCTTCATAAATCTGCCCCATCACCAAATCTTTAACCAACAAGCTCCACACAAGATAAACATTCTTCATGAACAATTTATCCACAACTATCATGAGAAGAAAGACCAAAACTTAAAGGAAACAATGACCACACATTAGTCACACACTGAACAAAACTAACATTACAGTCAATAATAAAACAGAAGTAACTTGTGAACTCAGACTGATTCTAGAATTAAAATAAAAATGGATTTCATGATGTAGATATCAGCATAGACAGAGATTTGTGCAGTTTAAATATGAGACATGTAATCTGTGAACATCTGTAGAATTCCAACTGCACACATCTCTCTGTCTATGCTGATATCTACATCATGAAATCAATTTTTCATTTTAATTCTACAATCAGTCTGAGTGAACAAGTTATGTATTAATGAATTACTTATTACTTCTGTTTTATTCATGACCATAGCGTTAGTTTTGTTCAGTGTGTCACTAATGCTACTGGTTGTTCTCCTTTAAGTTTTTGTCTTTCTTCTCTTGATAGTTGTGGATAAATTGTTCATGTTAGAATGTTTATTCTTTGTGGAATGTGTTGGATGAAGATTTGGTGATGGGGCAGATTTATGAAGCTGCAGGAGAAAACACCAGACATTTACACAGATATTTTGCCACAGAAAACTATTAACTGGTGGCATTGACCCTACATGACGGCACTTTCAGACGATGAGATAAAGGTCTCGTGTCGTGTGGGAGCAGGGCGATGTCAACGTGTGGCTGGAGCATTGGTTAGAATCATACAGCTGATTGGAAGTAGGGTTTGAAAAGGGCCTGGGAGAGATCACTAGATTACTCAAACATGCATGGTTGACATCTAAAATTGTTGTATTATAACTCCTCTTTAATAAAATTGAAGTATATTTCTGAGAATGGACTGAATACTGTGCTAACGTCTTACCTTTTCATCCAGTTCCTGATTAGCCTCTTCAAACCTGGTCTTGGCGGCTTTAATCTTCTCATTACACTTGATAATAGCGACTTTCACTAATAATAATACACAAAAACATGAATTATGTGACTTACAAAACATTTGTCATGTGTAATTACAGCAGTACACAGCTCATGCTAATTAGCTTGGTGCTAGTGCTGTCACTGTAAACACTAGCGCTGTGTAATAAACAAAACCAGCAGGAATCTGAACTATGAACAAAAGTCCATATTGACCTTCTTTAAACTTGTGTGTTTGCTGGACCAGCTGCTGCTCGCTCAGGAGGATCTGCTGAAACAGAGAGTCCAGACTCATACTGAGTGTGTTTACTGATGCCAATGCTACGTGCTAATGCTACATGTAGTATGGCAGCTGAGAAGGCTCATACTCAGAGAGGGAGAACACAAAAATATTCACAGAGAAAAGAAATGAACTGAAGACCTGATTCTGTTTCTTTTCTTTTTTTTTTTTTTTATGTATTTATTTATTCATTTATCAGGATTATAGAGTGTAAATTGACTTATTTTGACAGCATAATATTTAGGCTTCATTTTCCTCTCCCCTGCTGAAACAAACAACTAATTAATTACAATAAATAAATAAATAAATAATACTAAAAATCTATGTTCTTTCTTTTACAGTTAAGTTATGTTAAATTTGTGATAAGTTTGACTAGTCTGATATAACACAATAATTACTATAATTTTTTTTATTTTTATTATTATTATTATTATTTTTTTAGAGGCTAATATAACTGTAGATGTAATTGTAATCTTTTATTTGTATTTTTTTCTTTATGTTGTCTGCCCTGAAATGACTCATGGAATATGTAATTCTTGATGTTTATTAGCTATTGCTTCTATAAAACAATGCATTTAAGCCGAGAAACTTGTTTGATAAATTGTGACATCTCACAATATCATTGTGAGACTTCTGACGATACAATATCACAATATTTCAGTTATTGTTACATCCCTTATAATAATAAATCTTTATTTATAAAGCACTTTTAAAAACAAGATTTACAAAGTGATGTACATGCAGCAATGAACAATACAAAAAGCATAAAAATAGAATATGGAAGGCATTCAAAAACACACAATGATGCAAACAATTAAATTATTTATAAGTTTTAAGAAATAAGGAATAAGATCAAGCTAAAACCAGTTCAAGGAAGGCCAACCGATAAAAATATGGTGACTTAAAAGATGATATTGATGGTATCGTCTTTTAAGTCTGGATGGAAGCTACACAACGCTTCACTGTTCAATTACTGATGATTTTATTATTACCTCCGCCAAGGAGGTTATATTTTTGCCGGCGTTTGTCTGTTTGTTTGTTTGTTTGTTTGTTTGTTTGTCTGTTAGCAACATAACTCAAAAAGTTATGGACCGATTTTGATGAAATTTTCAGGATTTGTTGGAAATGTGAAAAGGAAGAACTGATTTCATTTTGGGGGTGATCCGAAAGAAATCCTGGATTCTGGATCACTTTGAAATTTTTGTTAACATTGTGGTAAATGGGGCCAAAAATCTTGTTTCTCAATATCTCGGTTAATTATTGACCAAACCCCATGAAATTTGACTCAGGGATGGACAATGGGATCCTCTTTCATATTCCAAAGGCTGATCCGGATCTGATCCAGAAGACTGATTTTATCGCAATTTATATAAAAAATGGGGGTAGTCCTTGGCGGAGGTCTGCGCTCTCTGAGTGCTTTTCTAGTTATGTACTGTTGCTGCCTTGGGATAAATAAAGTATAAAGTTATCTATCTTTCTAATTTGCCAGTTGTCTTGTTTACATTTGAGCTAATTTTGTATCACAGGTTTTGCATCTTTACAGACAAATGCAAGCATCAGTATTTACTCTACAATTCCCCTTGTAATTTACTTTAGTGCATATGCCTCCTATATTAAGTCTTATTTTATTTTCATCAGACTCTGGCACATTTCCTAGTTTTCTGCAGGTGTAGGTTCAAAAAGCTTTTAAAATTCAGTTTCATTTGTTGTACCTCTGGCCTGTAGACACCAGACCCTTGACCATCCAACAGTGTTATATAATCTGCTTTAAAGATGTACTATGTAACTTTTCTAGTGGAGGGTTTGGCCATCTGCTTGTCTCCATAGAGATTTTATTGCTTTGCCTAAAATTGTAAAACTTTTTTTTTTTCTTCTTCTTTTTTAGGTGATGGACACTCCATTAGAAATGTTACATAGAGGACCTTTAATCAGAAGATCCAAAAGAGAAGCTTCATTGTGTTCAAAAGGACTTGTCAGGTTTGTCAAGTTGCTGTGTTCAGTTTTATATCATGTTTTTGTATAGTAATATTAACTGTAAGAAGACATTGTGCAGAGACACAATGTCTGAATCTCCAGCAGAAAAAGTTACAATGTGCACCTTTAATTAAGATAAAAATATGGATTTGCACAATATGTACCTTTAATAGCAAAAGTGCATTTGAAAAGTGCTTTGGCCTGATAGAATAATGCTCGCTCAGCTCTCTGTGTGAGATCTGTCAAACCAGGCTCTCCCTTCACACTCCTGATCTGGTGCCACGGAGCGCATTAGGCCCACTGTTAAACGGCTGGATACATCACTCTATGGCTCTATGAATATGGCCCTATTGATCCGAGTCTCTGCATACATCATCCTGCAGCGCCTGCACCGACAGACAGGGGTCCCCGTGGAGACACGAGAAGGGCGCAGTCATCAAAGTGAGCAGACGATAAGCCGCTCCCAGGACCAGCAAGGACCACAGCAGTACTTTACACTGTACAAGGACCAGCAATGACTACAGCAGTACTTTACACTGTACAATGACTACAGCAGTACTTTACACTGGACAAGGACCACAGCAGTACTTTACACTGTACAAGGACCACAGCAGTACTTTACACTGTACAAGGACCACAGCAGTACTTTACACTGTACAAGGACCATCAAGGACCACAGCAGTACTTTACATGTACACTCAGAACCAGCAAGGACCATAGCATTACTTTACACTGTACACTCAGGACCACAGCAGTACTTTACACTGTACAAGCACCAGCAAGGACCACAGCAGTACTTTACACTGTACAAGGACCACAGCAGTACTTTACACTGTACAAGCACCAGCAAGGACCACAGCAGTACTTTACACTGTACAAGGACCACAGCAGTACTTTACACTGTACAGTCCCTGACAAAAGTCTTGTCGCTTATCCATTTTGTAGAAACAAAAGCTTATAACCTGACTTTAAATTAATCGATTGGTTTTAGAAATGTCTCATATGAAAGCTAAAACCTTCCCAAATTATGCTCAATATACGAAAATAAATTTGCTTCACTGAAGAAAGATTGATCATTTAATGAACACAGAAAGGTCAGATTTTGGCAAGACAAAAGTCTTGTGGCCTTGTCATATGATGCACCCAATCCTAGATTACAGCCTCACCTGTGATCAATTACTGATCAATCAGTTAGTGGGTGTGTATAAAAAGAACCCCAGCACACCAGACCTTCACATCAACTGCAACTTGACCTCTGACAACATGCCTAAGATCCACCCTGAGACCAAAGCATTAATTATCAAGAGGCTGAAGACCAGATCCACTGCTGAGGTGGTGACACCTTCAATGTGTCTCAGCGTCAAGTACAAAGAATAAGAAAAAGATCTGAAATGACTGGAGATGTTTTTGACAAGCCCAGGTCCGGCAGACCCCACAAGACAACTGCTCGGGAGGACCGTTTGTTGATTCGAAAATCCAAGGCCGGACCCTTTTCCACTGCAGCAGACTCCACCAGGCCTGGTCACCTCAAGTCCCTGTGTCAACCACAACAGTTTGTACAATTCTGTCTCGAAATGGCCTCCATGGTCAAATCAGTGCACAGAAACCAGCACTAAACAAAAGGTAATTAAAAAACCGTGTGGCATTTGCCAAGGCCCACAGCCTGCTAAAAGGATGGACACTGGAAAAGTGGCAGAAGGTGGATTTCTCAGATGAATCCTTGGTTGAATTACATCACAGCCACCACAAATATTGCAGGAGACCTACTGGAGCCCACATGGATCCAAGATTCACCCAGAAAACAGTTAAGTTTGGTGGTGGAAAAATCATGGTCTGGGGTTACATCCAGTATGGGGGTGTGCGAGACAATTGCAGGGTGGAAGGCAAATATCAATAACCTAAAATATCAAGAAGTATTAGCTTCCTCTTACATTCCCAACCATAAAAGGGGTCAAATTTTGCAGCAGGATGGTGCTCCATCACATACTTCTATCTCTACATCAAAGTTTCTCAAGGCGAAGAAGATCAAGGTGGTCCAGGACTGGCCAGTCCAGTCACCAGACATGAACATCATTGAGCATGTCTGGGGTAGAATGAAAGAGGAAGCATGGAAGGCAAAACCAAAGAATCTTGATGAACTCTGGGAGGCATGTAAGACGCTTTCTTTGCTATTCCTGATGACTTCATCAACAAATTGTATGAATCATTGTCGAACTGCATGGATGCGTCCTTCAAGCTCATGGAAGTCATACAAGATATTAAATATGGATCTCACAGCACCACTACTTCATTCACTGAAGTTATGCAACATATTTTTGTATTTGAAGTAAATTATTTGTTCAATTTTCTGTAGGCGACAAAACTTTTGTCTTGCCAAAATCTGACCTTTCTGTGTTCATTAAATGATCAATCTTTCTTCAGCGAAGCAAATTTATTTTAGTATATTGAGCATAATTTGGGAGGGTTTTAGCTTCATATGAGACATTTCTAAAACCAATCGATTCATTTAAAGTCAGGTTAAAAGCTTTTGTTTCTACAAAATGGATAAGCGACAAGACTTTTGTCAGGGACTGTACACCTGGGGTCTCAAACATGCGGCCCAGATCATTTCTAAAGGCCCACAAGACAATTTCTAATTTCTTTTGATAGTGGCCCACCAATAAAATGCATAAAAGCGTAAGACTTTGAGCTACACTTCCCATACCTGATCTCGTCAGATCTCAGAAGCTCAGCAGGGTCGGGCCTGTGTAATACTTGGACGGGAGACCACTGGGAAAATCAGGTGCCACAGTGGAGCGCCAGTGGCAAAAACTGTTGTTGTGTCCTTAGGCAAGACGCTTCACCCACATTGCCTAGTACAAATGTGGTGTGTGAGTGGTGGTGTTATATGATATCTAATAAGCGGCCCCTGACCAACACTGATTTGATCCCTTCTTCCCCTGCTCCAGTTGAGTTTGAGACCTCTATATCTATATATCAGAGGATCATGTCCCACTCTACAACAAAGACCAACATCCAGAATTCCTCCATCCCAAAAAAGA